ATAAATACTGCGTAAATCTTTTGTTATAATACTTTTGTTAAGGCTTTTGTCTACTGAAAGACGTATAAATGATAAATTATGTGCGTTTAAATTTATTAAAAATACGTTTATAAAATAAGGATTAGGAATAAATTTAATATTATTCAATGTAAGCTGATAGGTATCATGTATTAACGATAGGTCAGGAAAGGTGATTCCCCTAAATACAGAAATCCTACAACTATATACCGTCATCAAAAACCTAAACGTTGGGATTACAAAAGCGTTAAAAAACAGAGAACTGGTAGAGCGAACGGAGGTCTCTCCTTGCCCCTGCATCGTCCCACGTGACTTTTTGTGATCGAAGAACAGTATTCTGGATTCACATCTTTAAAAAAAATACTACCACTAAATATGGTAGTCTTGAGATACAAGTCTTGAGCGTTGCTCGGTGATTACAAAGATACAGTGGGCTCTCGTTATATTACCATATAAACAGCTTCCCCTACACGTAAAGCAGCATGGCCAAATCGTACTTCGAGCCACTTTCAAATACTTTTCCTACTTGTTCACTCCACTGAACCATAGGAGAAGGTCCTCCTCTATACCTATTACTTGTTCAAGCTGTCTTTCTCTCGCCGTCAAACGCATCTCTCAGCTACTGTACAATACACGTTTGTAAGCGTACAATGTACATACAAGCTGCCTGATGGTCAGATAGAGTGTCTATAATAATAGTGGGAGCCTTTGAGCCGCTGGCGGAGAGGGCTTTGGCCATTCCTGTATTGCCATTTAAACAATTCCCCTTTTACATAAAGCTGAGATGTCCAATTGGTACTCACGAGCAAATATTTCCCTCCGAGAAGTACTCCCACTTGAATCTTAGCTTGACATGTTTGAGCTGCGGTGTGAGGACTTGGGGGTGCAAGAGGACGCGAAGCGACGTCTTCCCGCCACGGTTCCAGCGACACCTTTTATTCCTTTTGCGTGATCTGCTTCATAGTGGAGGTACTTCTGGATGAGAATATTTGCTCGTGAGGTGCAGTTGGTCATCTGTGATGTAAAATGTCAGATACACTAGTGCCATTCTCCCACCATTGTAACACACAAAGACGAAGCTAGCACTTACTCCGTCCATTCCAAACGAAAAAGCAATTATTTTTAATTATTTTTAAACAATTTTTGTATATCTTATTATTATCGTGATAATATTAGGTCTAATTTTGTTTATTAAAAAAAAATTTGTTTTGAAGGGTCAACTGGTCCTCTTTTGACTCTTCCTCGTTGGGCTATTAGTTCTTACTATATTGTCATTTTTAAAAGACTTCCACTTCTACAGCTCCACCTGCAGCAGTGTAAGGAAAGTCTGGTGTATTGCAATGCATAAATCATTTTGTGTTAGTCTATTTTATTATTTCATTGGACTGCTTCTGTCCAATTACTTATACGTCGAATGTTGAAATTTTTTTTTCTAATGGCACCCATACCTTATTACGATTCACATATTATTTCAACTGCAGTATTAATTTAGAAATCCAGCGTTTGTATTTCATTCGCTAATAGTTTCTGATATAAACGATCAAAGACTTTTGTGAGCGAGTGTACTTCTTTTAAATCTTTTATATGCTTCAAAATGCAGGATTGGTAGATTTTGTAATCTTTCTGCTTGAAATTAACGGTTAAATAATTTATGGAAAAGTGTAGACTATGCACTCGTAATATAAGCCACAGAATTACTTCTTCTGATTGTTATGAGAATTGTTTTATACGTAATTTGCAGCATGAAATAAATAACGTCTTCGATTATGTATTAAGTTGACAATTAAATTCGCGACCTCTGCAATTTTCTATCTTTTACTTATTAATTAAAACTTAACAAATGATTAATAATTTTTAATTAAAATCAACACTATTTCAATTACTAATTTAATTATTTTTTAAAAACTTGTTTCACTAAAATATCTCAATTTTAAATGAAATAATTATTAGCAATTTACTAATTATTCAAAATTAACTTTTAAAAACAGTTTATCCCTAAATGCTGACGCTAAATTAATAAAATTTAATAAAGTTATTTATCAACTTAAATATCAGTTCATTATTTATTAATGAAGTTTAAACATTATTATTTATTAGTGATCATTTATCAATTTCTGTAATACCACTCTGTCAGTTTTGAAATAAAATACGTGGACTTTACAATCACTATAGTTACTTCTGCTGTAACAATTAATGTGTTTATAACAACGCGTGTTAATTTTATTACTTACATTTATTTTGTTACTTGTAACACTACAAAACTAAATTAATCTATACTAGTAACATTTCACAAAATCGTGTTCATACGTGTAGAATTGAAACGAATTGTCTGGCTTGCTGGTGGATGTAATAGAAGGCTTCGGCAAAACGTCACTTAAGCCAAACTTTCAAAACGATCAGAAAAGAACCGCTGGAAATTCTCAGGAGTATCAAGAACCGTCGGGCAACTTGTAGGATTCCGTGTCATGGATCTAGACATTTCGCGGAAATCTTGGCTTCAATGCTGCGCAGTCAGCTGCGAATTGCCATAATAAATTCATAGGCAATTCTTATGCGGCGTAGAAAGGAATTGGGCGGTGGTAATTTTTCCACCCGTCTTATTAAAATTTCAATGATGTTCTGCAGTCGGCATAGATTGGATGAATAAGTCTGGAATCACATCTCCAACATATCTAATCTTGACGAAGAAATTCAGAAGTTTATTTGTTCCTCTACTGAAATTGATTTAACTTTGCTTCAATAAAAATTGTGCACAGTTTTAATACGAAATACATATTATAAAAACACCTGATTAGTTCATATGAAAAACAATTGTTTATCCACCTTCTTTAAATTGTTTCTACCATTATTAAGTAAATTTTATAAGAACCTGTTATAAACATCAAAATTATTACAATTATTAAAACTATAATTTCAACTATTAATAAACAAAACCCAATTTTTTTATTCATCTAAAATTTAAATAGAGTATTCTCTCATTATATTGCCGGGTAAGCGATTTGTCTTTCACGGATTTTCAAGCATACTAGTGTCACACTCTCACCATCATAAGATACGAAAATGATATATTTTCATATCCCCCCCCCCCCCCCTAATTGAAAGTTTGGAGACTTGAAAAATTTTTCTGCCCCTATAACTCCGTTCGCGGCAATGTAACGAGAGTCTACTGTACATAGAAATAATGAGAGTCCCCCATTATTGTTATCAACAAAATAACTTCAATAAAATAAACTCTTTTTATTCAGAGGATTCCACAAATATTATCCTAATTACTGAATAAATTAATTAACTTCCTGATACGATCTCTCAGCCATCTTAGAATAAAAGATTCTTCTAAACAAAAGGACAAGAAATGGAATGAAAGTGGAAAACAGGTAGAAGCATTTTATGTATATGTAGCGGATGAGAAACTGACGAGTACCAACGGTTACTGGAAGCTTGAAGATTTCCAAGTGGACGGTGTACCTTTCCTCTGGGAATGGTGATACAATCTGAGCTTTGCTGACAGTTTCCTCGCCCGAGCCCCCACCCTTTTCTTAAGAAGAATTTTCTTCAGTGTTCGGTGCTTGCTATGTTGGCACCTTTGCCCTATCGAGCTTTTACCATCCATTGTTTTCTTTAATGATGGTTAGTGGTAGGTACTCGAAGTCGTTAGAAATATACGGTTAATATTTTGAATTAAGTCTATCATTAATTTAAATTATACCTAAGTATAGTTTCACTATAAGTACAGTATTAGTATAGTGTTCCTATACTACATCTACTACAGGGTGATCCTCTCGCTAGTGGACTCAAAGGAAGTACCGCCACAATGTAGTATGAATGGACCCAAGCCGTTTTCTCGACGGGGGTGCATACTGCAGCTGTGTCCGTGAAAAGGTTTCGATGACAGAAAAGGGCTTGGGTCCATTCATACTGGTGTGGCGGCACTTCCTTTGAGTCCACTAGCGAGAGAATCACCCTGTACTACTTATAGTGCTTCTGTACTATATATACAGGATGTTCGACAACAGGTGGGTAAAATTTTTGAATAGTAGAAACTTACCTCGTGCTATTCTGTTTTCCGATACTGCGACATTCGGCTTCGATTTTTGGTTATGACTGTACCAACCCCTGCTGACCTGACGTTCAGTCGTCGGTATGTACTGGGCGGATTGCAGGTTTCAGACGCTTTTTACTCGAATTTTTAAACGTTAATTACTGGAAAATTATTCTTGATTTTCGTCTTATTTTGATCCCTAGAATCACCCCTTAAAATTTTGCCCAGTTGTCGAACACCCTATATATACATATAGTATTAGTAATTTTAGAATTAGCATTAATGATTAATATTACTAATTTTGGTATCCACACTCATCATGGACACGCACCATTTTAATAAGGACCATATGACAATTATCTGCATGCTAAATATTATTTTTCTAAATAGACATTTATTTTTTAATATAGTGTGCTTATGAGGTTAAGCGTTTGCTTAATTTCTTTTTTAAATTATCATTTATAAAAAATGCAATAAATATTATCATACTTATTTTGGCAAATTAATACAAAACTATTATATTGTTGATACATACAGTTTTAATCACCATAACAAGTGTGTCAATGATTAATCTCTGCTATAAGTTTTTGTTCTTTTTACAATATTATGTTTTATAATTTAAATTCAACAGAAGTAACATTAGAGTAACAGTGAAACACGGATAAGTGATCCACATTTTTTGCACACAGTTATGAAAGAAATGTTTAATAGTTACCTTTAGGTATTTATCTTTAGGAAAACTTTATCGATCGATGTACAAAGCGCTTTTGGGAAAAAATTGAAAAAATTTTTTTGCATAAACACATTTTTTATATGATTTTCAAAGCGAAATTGCAAAATCGGACTCTGTACATCACTGTATATAAAGAATATTTAAAAAAGAAAGTAATGATAGAATATTGTCTTTTCACTTCAAAACCTTTGAAGTACAAAATCGCTAAAGAATCGTTTTATGTTCTTGTCTCGCCAAGACTGGAACATATAAGAGAAACCGGGATCTACATGCCTAGCTTTGTCAAGAGTTTTACTTTTACCGCATGATTAATTGGCAATCAATTAGCATATGGATGATCACTCCTGTTGTTTCTTGAACAGCAGAATATTAGTCAATCGTGGCCCCAACTTATGAAACATATACAAGAATATTAACTTACAGTTAAATGTATAATTTTTAAATAAAAGGATTTTATATATTGGAAGAATAATTTTTCAAGAAACAGTATACAATTTATAAAATAATGAAAATAATATGAAATACAAGATGAAATTAAAATTGTAGTTCTCTCCATGGTCCGTCGTCCGAGGGTTAACTCTTAAAATAATGGTTTCAGTTTTTCTCCTCTGTCTTTATAAGTCATTTTTAAACCTTTTAAATGTAAAATGTGCACTGATTAAATATATCTTACTCTTAAAAAAAATGTTAGATCATTGTACAGTTTACTCTGATTGATTAAAATTCTACGAAAAAGAGAATTGAATGTCTGTCACTACTTTAAGCGATGCTTCGCCACAAAGTTGTTCTGTATCTTTTTCTTTTCACTTTCTTCCTTTTATCTCGTTCATTTTTTCTCTTGTTCCTCGACTATGCGATTCCACAGCGGGAACCTCTTGCCACGTAGAAATCCCACCTGACACGCAGAATGGATGATTCGCGAATTTCATCTCCTAACCTCTTACTCGCTTTTTCCTTTCTCCAACTATCCTCTTCCTCTACCTTTCGTTCTTTCTTTCCGTGTTCTTCTATCATCCGGAACTTTCAGACTTCGAAATCGTTTCAAAATTGACGCGTTTCTTCGAGCACTTTGTTCTTTGTTAATAGAATTCCGGGCTTTTGAGTAAGTTACGCGTAATAGAACTAAGATCTCAACACTTCGGCACTACTGCCGACGAAGTTAGATGAGGAACTGATACCAGACTGATTCACCATCCATATAAACCCCTATTCGACTTTGATGACTACAATTAGTGCCTATTGACATTCAAACGCTATGCGATACTCTGTACCATGAATGTAGGAAAGGGTTGTCGAAATTGCACCATTTAAGACATTTTATTTTAATACAATTTAATGGTTAAGGCACCTATTACTACGTAGATAATGTTTTTTTGAAAATAAAATAATTTGTTATAAACATTTTTCTAACCACCATTCTCCTAAATTGTACCTCCTCGAAAAGTACTAAAAATGAAATTATCGATAAAAATATGGATGAATTAAAGAAAACATAAAATGATTAAGAAATAACATTTTCGTAAGTAATAAATTCTTTTTCTTATTTTGAAATACTGTACAAATTGGACATAAGCACAATAATAAATAAGAAGATATAATATTACAAATGTTGTACACGTCATATATACAATATCGAGCAAAGTAGGTTTCCCTGGGGAAAAGAGCGTTACAGGAGAAACAGGAATTCTCATAAAATAACTTTTAACGAAAAATACAATCGACTTCAATACCTATGCGCTAAAAAGTGTAAAATAACTTATACTTCATTTCTACAACAAAATGCATTAAAAAGCATGAAATAATTTCTATTTCCTAATGAAATAATTTCTATATCATTTATACAATTACCCAACAGCTATTAATAAAACCTATTTAATCGTTAAATAGTACACTAAATACATTTCAACCTTTTCGGAGGCGGCGCAAAATTAAAGTCGGTTATTTTTTGTTAAAAATTATTTTATTTCACATGGTATTCTTTTCTTTTAGTATTCCATTTCTTTTGGCAAAGCCTACTTTGTGTGGTACTGTACTGTGCAGAGATGAGATGTTGCGGAGGCTAAGGAGTGCCTCCTTGGTCTGTCCCGCCTAGTCCCTACGCGTCGTCACGCACCCACACCATTTGATTTTACGGCGTACAAGCGGCGTGCTTAGTATGTGTGAGCGTGTGCATTAGGCGTGACTAGAAAACTCTGACCAATCGTACCCGCATTCCTTAGCATCCTCAACATCTCATCTCTGCACAGTACATGCATAACCTACAAACATTAGCGTAACTGGGTAAGGGCTAGGGTGGACTTGGATCCAAAATATAAACTGCTCCCTCGCCATTCTAGGATTCCAAAATCCTAATCTTATAAAATCCTAAAATTCTAATATTTTGATATTCTAACACTTGACACTTTTAATAAAGTTATGAGACCTGCCCATCCCCGAAAATATCAAAAAAACTTAGCCAATACCTGAAGATTATATTTTGTTGAATTTTTAGTTTTGTGAATTGTTTTTTTAAAATTTGAACATTATTTACATTTTTATTTTCACCTAATTACCCATCAATAAAAAAATTATGTTACTCTTCTACAGTTAAGATGATATTTTGTCGTAGACAGGCTATAGGTATCTAGAAATTTTCTACTTTTTCGTATTGTTTATGATATCCGTGATCAATATTACTTCTGACAAGCTTCTACAGCTGAACTAAGGTCGCATCCTTCGTTTTAGACATTTCATTTATATCATATGAGATCGATGTCGAAAATGAATGAATTTCATTCTCGGTGACACTGGTCAGAGATTCATTCTTCCTTGCATAAATGCCATCGCATCTCTATCATTCGCATGAATACATTTCCACGTTGATTTATAAATATTTATCAGCTGCCAGCGCTAGTAAGAAGCACCCTTGCAACTGCCAGTGCATCGAGGGCAGCCACGTAAAAAGTGCAATCCGTAAAAATTCAAGAGTACCAACTCTGAGATGGAAACCAAGATTTTTTGGATATGGTTATACGTTCAATCATTCTACGAATACTGTTCTGTTCTGAGAACCCTTCTTCAGCTAGGTGATCAGATCAAACTGATCAAATTTTAGAAATAAAAAATAATGAATCCCTCTATTTAATTATTCACGATTTAATCATATTGATGTATACAATAGTTGTTTTCAACATAAAAAAATATTCATATAGTATATTCTGATTAAAAAAGTCTTACTTACGATTAATAGATATAGGTCGAAAACTCAAGTGTTTCCATAATATCACTTCACCTACCGGTATCTTATTAATCAGCTGTTTGCGCCTGACGCTTATCGACCGGTAGCCTAATAATCGGTTGCCATGGTAATCAATAATTTGTTATCTGTTATTGACGATGAGTTACAATTCTTACAATTAGATTGTACTGTAAGCTCCCATATTCTTATATAATTTTTTTAATCATACCCTTCGCCGAAACAGAGCCGGTATCAGGGAAGTAGGTATTTGCGGCCGAGCGATCGGTGGGAAGTGTGTACGATGTTCAACCGCTACCGGTCGATAAAGTGATATTATCATTTCTTTATGTCAGGATAATAAATTTAAGTTATCATTTCATGTCTTCTTTATTTACATTTAATATAAAAAAAATGATGTTATCTCCTAAACAGTTGAATTTTCGAGTTATGTTTACAAAGGCTTCTTTTATCAGAATGGTATATGTACTCTATAAGGGTAGTTTGCATACCGATGAGCACTTAGGATTTTTTTACGATATTCTTCCATGTGACTATGTACAGCACTAAGGTGTATTGAAGCTAGAACACTACTCTTTCTACTCTTTCTGTAATTGAAATTTTCGATTCACTTTCAATCGTTTAACGAAATACTCATCGCCGGCGTTAGGTGCCGTCCGGCGTATGAGATGTCCTGACCGTGGCCGAAGAAAAAGTCCTGTGCGCATTCTATGCAGGTTGAAAATGTCCTACCGCTTGATCGCAGGTGCAACTACGTGGATGCGTAATCCCTCACGCTTACGTGGCGGATTGCGGCTAAAAGGAAGTGTCGTTGCGGCTATCGCCGGGATTCCTGGAGTACCTGAAGCGGTGAAAGGATACCAGCGGCCCACACAGGGAAGAGGTTTTAGTGGGTGGTACGAGGCCCACACTGCCCGGGCCCCATTAGTCGAATAGTGCGACAGGGGGAGCACCCGCGCGTACGTAAAGGTATTTCCTTTACTGTAAAACAAAAAAAAAAAGAAAGGTACCGTCCGGCGTCAGGGAAGCTTCCACTATACCCTATACCAGGCCTGTCCAAGTAGGGGAATCCACTCCTGGAACACATGTTTTGGGTCCCCTTCCAACGCCGCTCCTTAAAGTAAAATGGTTCCGTTCCGTCTACCATCTCTCCGTCTTTCCTAGCGGCTCGCCGCGGCGGTATTGTCTCCTCGGAGAGATGGTAGTCGGAACCGTCCCATTTTACTTGAAGGAGCAGCGTTGAAAGGAGACCCAAAACATGTGTTCCAGGAGTGAATTCCCCTACTTGGACAGGCCTGCTCTATACCATACGAATTTTGAACTGGCTTTTGGAAACGCTGTATGTTACATACAATTTAACACACAAATCAGTTAGAAAGGCTTACAACGAATAATCTATATTTAATTACAAGAAATGTTAGCTAAAAATTTACCATTTGTAACTGTTAACCACATACTATCTTTCTTTCCAAGGTTTCGATGAAACTTAGTCATGATATAGTATTTAAAAACGTATTCTATATGTAGGTATTCATCCTAGCGCTAGAACTTCGTATCCATGAGTTAAGTTATGTGTTAACCTTGAAAAGACTGATGCTGAAATCTGCAATTATGAAATACAAGATTAAAATTAAATTAAAATTGAGGCTCTCTCCACGGTCCGCTAACCTAGGGTTAAATAATGCATGCATAATTAAATGAAATATTAATTTGCAAAGTCTTAATTGTATAAATGTTAATATTAGGATTAATTTTTTAATTACTAAATATTGTAAAATTTAATATATAATCAACTTTTTCCGTATAAATATTTTCTTGCAAGCGATGGAGCCTATATTACCTTTCGCATTCATCACACTTACATCTGATATTAAATAAAATTTCTTCTATTTAGAAAATAAAAAAATATACCAACCAAAAACTTTTCCAAGCCATTGTACACCACATTTTGATCGAATTCTTTCATTAAACTTGGTTCTATTACGCGAACCGTTCAATGTTCCTTCCCTCTGCATTTCTTTTGTTATTTTCCTTTTCAATGTTGTATCTTGGTAAAGAATAATGTAATGTTCTGAGAATGCTCGTACTATATGCAATCACGTGTAAAACGAAGTACATTCAATCCGGGAGAGAATAATAACGTTTGTGTCGAATTTATTGTACGATCATCAGAGCTTTATCGAGCTTTTATGTTTCCATTCGCAGCCGTGTGCCCGTCTGAAAGCAATATGACAGTGTAAGATTACGGGGTCTCTAACTTGAAGCATTGCCAATTTCAAACGATACAGATAGCAGCTGCATCGATACCAGAAACGTTCAGCACACCATCCTGGATTTCGTAAATGTCCTATGGTATTCCGTCGAATAAAAAGTGTACGTCGACAGTCGCGTCGCTTTACGTTGGAAAGTCTACGCACGTTGAATAAATATGTATGCCGGGGTAATGCAATAGGAGATGAAAGGAAGAGAAAGACGTTGCTTACTCGTTTCCTCCCGTTACTTAAAAAGACACACTGCTCGTGAATTTACGTTGTTCGTCGGTAATCAAACTGTAAAAGATTTTACATTGTTAAAATGTCATTTTCTATTAGATTAAACAGATAGAATCCAATTTTTCTGGTAATTTTAGTATAGTTATGTTCATGAATCTGATAAGGGAACATCGGCGACGAATACACTCAAATTTTTAGAAACTGTGCATAAATATTTATTACATCTACCTAAAAATTTATTCGTAATTCGTTCGTGCCCATTTTCTACTTTAAGGGAGAAATCAACCCTTACGTCCGTACTGTCCTTTCTATGTATATTCGTGCTTATAAGTTGTAAGCAACAGTAGATACA